AGAGTGCCCTGGTGTCACAACTCACAGCAACCTCAAACTCTTGGGCTTAAGTGATTCTCTTGCCTCAGCCTCCCAAGTAGCTGGGCTATAGGCAACTGCCACAACACCCAGCTATTTTTTTTTGTTGTTGCAGTTGCATTGTTGTTTTTAGCTGGTCAGGGCCGGGTTTGAACCTGCCACCCTCAGTGTATATGGCTGGCACCCTGCCAACTAAGCTACAGGCACTAAAGATAGTTTATCTTTTTACATGGAGACTTAGGGATCCAAGAGTGAGTTTGCCAGGTAAATTGACTTTTTTTGATTTGGCCTCAGAAGTCATCCAGTATCTCTTCTGCTGCACTCCATTGGTTGAAACAGTCACAATCCACTTAGATTTAAGGAGAAGATATTTAGATCCCATCTTTCAGTGAAGAAAGCCTCAAAGAAACTGCAATAAAAGTTGTCATAATACATTATAATAGCCCCTTACGATTCTCAGGAAACTTTATGGACTAGGTTCGTGTCTCAGATAGCTCTGTATGGTACAAGGCCTCTTGCCAAATTTGAGGCTATCAAAAGTCAAGGTTTAAAGAGGGTTTGGTGGATGGTAGGGGTAACTTTGTAATATAGAGTTCCCTGTCTATCAAAGCATATATGTAGCCATGACAGTTTAGCAGAACTTTTCTGTATTCAACCCTTCTGCAGCTGGAAGTACATGATTCTAGATTTTCTTCTGGCTCTCTGCCCTGGTCATAGATTATTACCATCTTCCTTCTGATACACAGATCTGATCCTTTTACTTTCCTGTTTAAAAATTTTTAAGGATTCCCCACCATGTCCAAAATAGTCCAAGTCTCTCTTATTTTTTTTTTTTTTTTGAGACAGTCTTACCATGTCGCCCTCAGTAGAGTGCCACGGTGTTCACAGCTCACAGCAACCTCAAACTCTTGGGCTCAAGCTATTCTCCTGCCTCAGTCTCCCAAGCCACTAGGACTACAGGTGCCTACCACATCACCTGGCTATTTTTTGTTGCAGTTGTCATTGTTGGTTAGCTGGCCTGGGCTGGGTTTGAACCTACCAACTTCAGTGTATGTGGCTGGCGCCATAACCACTGTGCTACAGGTGCTGAGCCCCAAGTCCCTTTTATGGTCTGTTCCTGGCCACCAAGAACTCAGATTTTATGCTACAGTCCAAAATATGAAAAGCAGCATAGTATAATTATTGAGTTCAAATCGTAGCTTTGGTAGGCCTTGTTAATTTCCAGTGATGCAAGAGAAAAATCTTTTCTCCCTCAGATGAGGAAAGTATACAACAAAAAAGGTCTAGTTTCCATTGGTTTCTTTTCTTTTCTTTTTTTACTTTTTTTCTTTT